CAACTTCAAAGATCCCAGCTCACATCCCCGGTGCGGATGAACCGCCTGGCCTCAGGTGCAAGCTCTGGAGATGCAGGACATGCGGGGTACCACTGTCCCATGTGGGATGGCACCCACAGCCCTGCCATCACCTTCGGCCCCTTCCTGCAGCAGGGATGTCTCTGCAGAGGGAACATCCCCACACCACCAGGAACTTCTTGTGTAGATCTGCTTGTTTGTCCAAACATGGGAGAACAGCAAGCAAAAAGGCCAGGAAGCACCTGAGAGGGGACGAGGGACATCCAAGAGGGAGAGGAGGAGGAAAGGAGAATTGTTGTCCTAAATGGTGGGGGACAGAAGAGCGTTTGGGATGAAATTGTTCAAAGAAGAGCTGCGGAGGTATTGTCATGGGATGAAAAGTGACTCTACACTTGCAGCCTCCAACACCTCAGTCAGTAAGAGAGTTAAGGAATTAAGCTGATCTCTGCCCAGTACCATATCTGGGGAATAAATCCCGGAGAACAGGGCTCCCACTACAACACACAAAGTTATATCCAGGCAGAAATGAAGCAAGGGGAACTCAGGCTACAAATCAGGCATAAATCTGTAAGAGTAGGGCAACGAACTGCTGAAGTATCTTGCCAGCGACTGTGGTACGGTCTCCGCTGCAGGTCACAAGGCAGTTTCCATAAAGAAACTTAATTTGGGGAGCTGCTGTGGGTGGTGGTATCTATTTGCAGGGTACTGACCTCAAAAGCTAGCTCACATAAATCACACATTTATGAGGGGGGGGGGGAAGGTGACTCTTTACTCATCATCCAAGCAAATTCCCTGGGGGAAAAAAAAGTTTCCTCAGTAGTGAGCTCTCTTCTTACAAGGGTGGTTTCTTGGGGCTTTTTTCTTTGCCTTCTCTTCAAGGGTTAATCACAGGAAATTGCGCATCGTTATTTAACACGTCTGGAGCTGGCACAGCCTCATCGGATGGTTTTCTGCCCCTCGGATCTGCTTGGCCCCACCTGAGTCTGGCCCTGACCCTGTCCCCGTAAGGAGGGCAGTGACAATGTGGCTGCTGAGCGCGTTCATCCTGGCAGCGGGTTTTTCTTGTACGTGCCCTGCTCACCCCGCTGCTGCCTGCATGTCCGGCAGTGGCAAAGGGGACCATCTCTTATTTCACCTTCACGCCTCTGCTTTTTCTCTTCCTTTCCCACAGCCCGTTCTGCACAAGTCTTGCAGCAAAGCCCCGTATCCATCACCAAGCCGGTAAGCAAAACGGTGCTAATCAACTGCTGGGTCCCCCATCCCGATTTTAGCAACCTTTTCATTCACTGGTACCGACAGAGGCCCAACGCAGCTCCTCAGCGCATTGCCTACAAGTCCTCCACTCTCTTCCTCGAAAACAAGTCCGACGAGGGGAAATTTAGTATCGAGAAGGACCCCATCAAATCTGTCTGCACCTTGACAGTCAGCAAAGTAACTCTGCAAGACTCCGCTACCTACTACTGTGCCAGGTGGGATGCACAGCAGTTGAAAGCCCCAGGGGACCTGCGCAAAGACGTGCTGGGCTTTCTGAACCAGGTCCTGAAGTGTTTGACAACGTGCAGGCACATCCCCACCTGATTTTCCCTGCCAGCCTTGAACCAGACACACTGCACGGGCAGCCCGGTGCCAGAGATGGTGCTGAGCTGGTGCTCGCTTGGCAGACACGGCCGCAGCCAGCGCCAGCACAGCCGTTATTTCACTTGGCCAGCAAAAAGGGCACTTCCATAGGTCTGGGTGGAGTGCCTCGGTGGGGTTACAGGACCGCAGGGTGGGCTAGCTACAAGAAGGAAAAACCCTTCTGGCGTTCCCACCACCCTTCAAGCGACAGCTTTGCAATAAATCCCCGGTTACATCATTCGTGTGGCAGAATAGAAGGATGTAAGTGAAAATAAACTTGAAGCACCACTCAGGGCTGCAGATATAACATACCCGTGTTGTACTTCTCTGCTGGTAGAGAATCTGCTTTTATTTTCTTTGTTTTCTGCTTGCAGCTGATCCAACCTTCATTTAGGTTAAAACAGAGAGCTCTTAATTGACTTCAGCGGGGCTTCTCATCCAACACGGCAGCAAACCTGCAAAACAAGCAGCGACTGTACAACAGGTATTTGTAGTTCCATTGGGCAGGCAGAAAAACACAAATTTAAGTTATTTCACCCCTTTTCTGTTCACGGCCAAACAAGTGATAGTTGCAGCTATAGACCGGTGTGTTCTGATCCCAAAGGACCCAGTATGACCAGTCTCCAGTACGAGCTCCGTGTGCTTTTGTTCTGTTCTGGTTTATTGGCAGCGGACTTGAGGAAAAGAGTCTGACCGCAGGCATTGTTTAGCAGCCTTCAACCAGTCTGAAAGCAGTGGGAAAATTTGCTTCAGACTACAAAATTTCTTTGTGACCGAGTTAAAGTAATTGTGTGTGTGCTTGAGAGAGAGAGGGAGAGAAGGTGAGTTCGTGCCGCTTGTGTAAAAGCTATAATCGGATTGCTAACGCTTAGCGGGGTTGAGTCAGGCTGCTTTCTCTCCCTATCACCGAGATACCTCCCCCCTCTCTAAACTCAGGATCACTCTACCTGCCCCCCTCTGCCCGACACCACCTTCCCCCTCTGCCTGCTGCCAGGGCAGCCTCTCCGGATGACACCCAAGGGAGTCATTTCCTTCCCGCAGCCCTCCGGCCCTGCCCGGAGAGCTCTCGCCTTCCTCCCACAGGCAGAGGCCAGCCAGAGCCCTGGGGATGCTGCTCCTCCCGCTCCTGGCCCTGGCTGCAGCCTGCGCTCGTAGGTTCCCCTTGGCACCAGGGCACGGGGCCGCGGCGGGAGGCATCCCGCCTTTCCCTGCGGGAATGAACAGCCGGCTAAGAGCCTTTCTTCTGCTTTCTCTCCTTTTCTCTAGGTGGACAAGCACAAGTGCTTCTGAAGCAGCGCCAGGTGTCCGTTACCAGAGGGCAAACTAAAACTGCATGGATTGAGTGTGCAGCCCAGGGCATAAATGACTTCCAGTCTGCATATATACATTGGTACCGGCACGTACCCGCCAAAGCGCCCGAACGGATTCTCTACATCGGACCAGGCCAGGTTTCTTACGATGACGATTCCTACAGGAGCAAGTATTCTTCTTTTAAGAAAGATGCAAATATCTGCACTTTCTTAGTCCACGGCATCAACGCCGACGATGAAGGTACCTACTACTGTGCCTACATGCAGTCCCACAGAACGCACAGACCACAGGCAGCCTGCACAGAAAGCTGACGGGACCCTGAGCGGCAACTTTCTGTCAAATGCAGAGAACCACAACTGCGCCTTCCAGCCTCCAGAACATCCCCACAGCTTGGTGCTCAGTAGAAATAATGGACAAAGGGAAAAGCAAGGCAACGCAGCGTGCTACAACTCAGCTGGTATAATGCTCTGGGCTGGGGAGAAGGAGCACTCCTGTGGGTGACGGCGTTACAGCTGAATTATACAGTGACACAGGTTGTGGTGGAATAACATAGATACTTACCCAAATACAGGCTGAGCTAGCAAAAATGAAGTGATGGCAGGGAGGGAGCAGAGGAGGAGGAGATTTGCACTGAAGATGCAGCCTGGGAGACTTCAAATCCAGGTCACGACGAAAATACTGGTGATACCCATCTCTGGTCACTCCCGTCTTAAGGGTTCTGATGACAGTGACTGTTTCTAACACC